AATTCAGAGTTTTTCTTTTCTTAGTATACTTAGACACTAGGTGCAGAGAGAATAGACAGATTCTTGCTTTTCCCAAGAGCATTAGTGTAATGGTGAACACAACAGTGTAGCCCGGAATTTGAACTCTGCTAACCGATTCCACTTTTCTTGCCTACATCCACTACACTACGCGCGCAGCCAGTGGCCCTTAGGCATTATTAATGATTTATATTACCTGGGTAGTCAAAAACTCTTGAGTTAAAATTTGCGCATAAGGTTCTCATTTTATGTGCCGTGGCCGGTCAGGACATGAGCAAACTTGACTCTCCACAACTTTCTGTCTTATGTTGCTGTAAAGAACATTTAACTTTTTTTCCCCTTAGATAGATCACTCTCAGATACCCTTTTCACCTCACTCAATATGGTCTGCTTTTGTTAAATTCTCCAAGCCTTCTTTCCTCATAATACACCGCTTTTTGGTGTTAAGGAAATATATTTTAAAGTCAATGGACCAAAGATTTGAGCAAGAAGAAAACTTATCAAACGATTTTAAATAAGTTCAATATTTAATGAGGTAATATTAATAATATATATATATATATATATATATATATATATATATATATATATATATATATAAAGGACCATTGAAGTCAACACTAGGAGGTGACAATCTGTTTCAGGCTGGACGCAATCGTCAGGCCGCGAATGCTGGATTTTCTTCGGCTACTTATATATATGGGTCAGTTGTGCATTGTGGGTAATCTATTCTGGTGGTTATTTTTACGGGAGCGGCTTTTTTGTTTATTTGTTTGGGTTAATTTATTTTACTTGTTTTTCATTTTCATTTTGTATTATTTATTCTTTTCGTTTTTGATGTTTTATTAAACCAGTAAAAAATTGGGGGTGGAGATATTTGCTTAGGTTGCTTATTTAATAGTTTGTTTTTGGCCTGGGAAGATAATTAAAGCTATTTATTCGTCCAATGTTTAGATTGCTTGCCGTAGTCTATTCTGTTGTTTTTGCGGCTGGACAGTTTTTAATTTATTTATTTGGATTGATTATTTTTATTTGTTTTTGCTTATTTATGCTTATTTTTATTAGTTCTAACGGTTATTTTAGCGGGGGCGATTTGTTAATTTGGTCATTTATTTGTGTATTGGGAATAATTTTTTATTATTTTTTATTTACTTATTTTTTATTTTGTATGTTTTTATTTATTCTATTTGGTTTTTGATTCTTGACTAACGTAGTGATGTTTTTCTTTTATTTATCGATATATAGCAATTATAGCTATTTTTATGTCCAATGTTTGGATTGGTTGCCGTAGCCTATTTTAACGGTTAATTTGGTGGGGTTGGTTTGTTAATTTCTTTATTATTTGTTTAGTTTAATTTATTTTACTTGCTTTTTATATTGTTTAGCAGCATGGAAAAATCATATTCAGTACGATTTATATTTTATTTTTAGTCCAGGAAATATAGAATCGGATGTTAGATAACCTATTTTTTAATCGGTATCACACCATGTAAGGCAGTAAAGCCCCTAAGACGCAAGGCGGGGTTACAGAGCTTGGAGAAATTAGGAACAGAAACAGTTATAATGAGCGGAAAGAGGAAAGAGTAAACAGTAGAACAGTATTATGGCGATTGACATTGCATTTAAATTTTTGCAGATTAAAGTTCGTTAATCATGGAGCCGAAAGAGATTTCCACAACCGAGAAGTACGAGAAAAAAACTGTTTGTATAGAACTTACAGTTACATCTCGACGCCAGTCTAGTACTGCGCTTAAATTTAAAACGTCAACAATACACCGCAATTAAAAGCTCATCCAAACAATTGTCTTAAAAGTGTTTATAAACAAGACAAAGAGGGGCAACCTGACGGCCGTGGGAAAGTTTACTCAAGTCGATTAATGAAAGGTTAATGATACTGATGATATAAATACATCTAGGAAATATTGCCGAAGTTCTTGAAAAGTTTTTTTTAGCTTTACGACTTTAAAGTTTCTGACGGCTCCTCCGAACAGGAAAACTGTAAAACTTTTCAAGGGAAATGAAGCACAAACAACACATACACTTGCGGAAATATTAGAGGTAAATCAGTCAATTTGTTTAAACGCTGCATTGGAACCGGAAAACTGTTTTTTTTTTAAATTATTTCCAAGCAATGAAATCGACCAGTAGTTCCGCTGCATGACAACGCCCATCCTTCCGATTCCAATGCAATGTAGCAAAAGATGCTTGAACTGGGATGGGAAATTATTTTATATACGACATGCTCTCCAGACCTGTCAACTTCAGAATATCACTTCTTTCATCCCATGCAACACTCCTTTTCTTTTTAGCGATTTTAACCATCTCGAAACGACTATTTGAAAATCCATCCAATCAAAATAGAATCGTAATTTTATAATATTTTTTAAAATTATTTTAAGGCCGGTAAATGTTGTTTAATACTGTTTATTATAAACAGAACATTTACATAAATATTTGTATCTATAAAAAGAATGTATAAACATAAATATGTCTTAAAATAATTGTCTCACTTTGTCCATTTCATAATGTGTGACGTCATTTGTTTACATTTGGATACGCATTGAGCAGATATGAATGTACCTGAGAGAATCATGGAAGATTGTAGTTTAAAAGCAGTAAAATCAACCTTGCTAACCGAACGATCCTCTGTGGCCCACTCGGATAAGCACACCAGGCTCTATGACGGTTCCGTATAGGATACAGGTTCGATTCCTGTCGGAGGACGAATATTTTTCTATGAAAATTTCTCGGATATTCAGGCCAGTAAATGTTGTTTATTATAAACAGAGCATTTACTCTAAATATTTATATCTATAAGAAGAATGTATGAACATAAAAATGTCTTAAAATATATCTTCTGTAGAAAAGTGTTAAACGCACGGTATATATACCGTGTGTTTAACGCTTTTCTACTGAAGAAGATTCGGTGATCACTGTGCACATACACACACACACACACACACACACATATATATATATATATATATATATATCAGAGTCTGTGGCCGCTGTTTCGTCTTTATTATTTTTTGTTACAGAAACCCCTTAGTTTGTATTCTAGAGGAACTGGACAATTTCTTTATTAAATCGGTGCCTTTTTTTCTCTTTGCTATGCTCCATAGGATTGGGTTGTTTTTTGAGGCTTTCCTGGTTTATTCTCTTTCTTTGATTATATATATATATATATATATATATATATATATATATATATATATATATATATATATATGTATGTATATATATTATCAAGAAGAAAACCTAAAAGATTCATTTCAATTATAATTTATTTCGTGAATATCTATATATGTATCTCTTCAGACCGAAATCTTTAAAGTTCTCCCTGGATTAATATCTATCTCTGATTTCGGTCTGAAGATATGTATATATAGATATAAATAGATAAATAATTTAAATAAATTATAAGCGAAATGATTCTTTAAGGTTTTCTTCTTGATTATTATTACAATAATGCTCTGTAGTTTACATTTCCCTGGATTAATATCCTCCTTTATAATTACCCTTACAAAACAAAAATTGGTAATATATATATATATATATATATATATATATATATATATATATATATATATATATATATATATATATATATAGTGATTTGCAAAATGTAGCTTAGTTGTGTCTGAAATATGGAGCACACAGGGAGTATGAAACTCACTATTCAGTTGTAATTAATCTAGCGAATATGGCGATTTTTCTAAGCGTAGCTTCGATGGGGGCACAAAGCCGAATGTATGGGCCACACAGTGAAGATCAAATTTACTACTCAGTCGTAATTTTTCTAGCGAGACAAGTTTGCTAACCATTACACCACGTCGAGATGCCCTTTTCTTTCTCTCTCTCTTTCTCTCTCACTATATCACAATGTCTCTCTCTTTATGCGTGTGTGTATGTGTGAAAGAGATAGAGTGAGAAAGAGAGAGAGAAGTATCTTCGTCAACAGAAAAGCACACTAATTAGAAATGGCTAAATTGGCCATCTGCATGTAGCTGACTCGTCTAATGATGCCAGAACTACAATTTTTTTTTTTTTTAACTTGACATATAAAACAGCATAATTTATGTCTAGTGCTATTTTCAGCTCTCAGACAAATGAATATTATTTGGAATTGTCTTGTGCTTATAAAATACAAAAAAAATAAAAATAAAAAAACTAAACACACCAAGAAATCCAGCTATTTGACGCCATGTGGAAAGAAGCATTTCAATAAAAGACTTCTTGGAATTATCATAATTTAACTCAGAAACATGTTTCGTTTTTGGAACTGATGCATTGTGACTCAGAAAGATTTTTCAAATACATCACATATTCAACCGGGAATGCTTGATTAATAGACTTTCGATCTGTAGGATATGTTGTAAAAGTTGTCTTTTTTGTTTTTAATTTTTGCAATCTGAGACGTATAAAAATCACACCAGAAACATTTAAAGGCAAAAGAAATACAGCTTAGATGAGAAGAAAATATACAAAACGATTTCATACTGAATAAATAATAGCAACATAAAGCGTTCGAGCTCAAAGATAAACAAAGGAAATGTTGAACGCAGATTTTCAAGGTAGGTGTTTCTCACAAGAAATCACAAAACAAAACAGAAATCAGGGAAACTTTTGCAGCATAATATTATTGCAAAATATTCTTATAGATAAGTAATATTTCGTTAATGAAGAATGTGACGCTAATTAATATATTTATATTTTGATTGATTTGTTTTTTACGACTTATCAACCTTTTACCGGTTATTTCAAGCCAGAAAATATTTTTACATTGTAAGAATTCTTTGGGGATAATGAGGATTTTACCGATACAATTCTTGCTAATTAACCCATAGTTGAGGAGAGAACAAATCGATTCATACGATTCCTAATGATATTTCCATATAAGTCACTACAACAAAACCGATTGGAAGTGAAACTTGGATCTCTAATTCCGAGCTGTTATCCATTACACCACCCGCACACCCAAGCTTACAGCATTTGGTATTCCCAAGTGGACACCCATTTGGTACTAACCTGGCTCGATGTTGCATAACTTCGATGATCGTACGGGAACCAGTCTAATGGGGTTAGTGCTACTGTTGTTGAAGGTTAATTTCCGTGATCTATATGTATTGGAATTTTCCTTTGGTCCAGTTGCTGGACATGACGACTTTAAGTGCTTAAGTGAGTTAAATAAAAATAAAACAAAGAAATTAATATAAGTCCTGATCTGGCATCTCGTCTCTAGTCATTTACTCACAGACGTAATTTGGCTTCCCTATATCTTTTCTACAGGTATTTTCATGGCAACTGCTCTGACGAGTTACTTTCAATGGCATCCTAATAGCATGAATTTAGGCGTGCTACTAAGTTGGCATCTCCGTCTCACCCTTTCACTGTCAAAACAGTTGAATGTAGCCGCCTCTTGTATTCCAACAGCTACTTCTCTCGCACTTTCCGATAGTGGAACTCCATTGCTTTTATTTGGTTTCCTCATAGCTATAATCTTCAAATGTAATGTCAATAGACATCTTCTGATGCCTTGATTCGAATCCCCGTTCTTCTCTGTATTCTTTCTTGAAACACTCCTCTTTACTCTTGCTCTCACTCTCTGTAACCCTTTGCGTGTTAGTAGCACTCCCGCCTTGCTTCGGGTGAAATGCTTAAAAAAGTGCTATCCCAGTTAAAAAAATCAGAATAAAAAACGCTGTTTTTAAGTGTGGGCTGATCCCTGACTTAGAGGTCTGGCGCAACTCTCTCTTTTTTTTCTATCTCTCTCACTCTCTCACTCTCTCTCTCTCTCTCTCTATCTATCTCTCTCTGCACACGTTTCTCTCTTTTTTTCACCTAATAGCGTACGAAAATATGGATTTCGAATCCAGAAAATTTACCCAAATAGAAACGTGGGTTATTACGATGTATCGAATGTATTTTCATTTTCAAGACTCTTTTATGTTCTTAATCATTTCGGAATGCGAAACCGAGTTCAAATCCCGGTCTGTCTTTTGTGTTCTTTTTTCGCATGGACAAAATATATCTCCTCTACCCGCAATTATGGGCCAAGAAAAGGAATATTCAGATTTCCAAACCGTGAAGAAAGCAACGGAATAAAAAAAAAACACTTCACTAAATTTCCCAAGAAATCATACCAATTCCAAGACAATAAATAAAAGGAATCCGTGTAGAAGGATGAAAGACATGTCATTAAAAAGAGCTCTCTCGAGTAGAGCCTGTAGATCTTGGCGAAGGCAATACTTCTTCGAACATTCTGGACTGACGCTAGACAATCGCAAACAAATAAAGGTACCGGATAATAGACATCACATCACTTGAGGAATTTCAACAGCAGAAACAACTAAAATGGATATATAACTCAAAGAGAAAATAATCGCATAATCATGATGTTTACTTTCCACACAACTCCAAGCAAAGCGTTAGCACGGAAATTCCCATCAATACTGGAAAGGGCGATAGCAGCTACTGGACTTGAGAAAACTATTTTCCTGAAAAAATGTTTTAAGAGGAAGATTTTATAAATTTCAACCAATTCATCTGTTCGATAGATTAATACCAAATGTTTCCTTATAAGGAAATGACTAATATTCTATTTACTATTTCGATGAGCCTAACACTTCATAATTGACCACGGATAATCGTCCATTTCTGGAATTTAATTCAAGCGACATGTCATCCCCATTAAACTGTGTTGAACAAGTTCTCATTTGTTTTAGCAGATAATGTTTCATTTTCTTAGATTTCAGCTGCTTCGGGTCCCAGTTGGAAATTGCCAAAATCTGAATACTTATAATTATGATATCCGAAACAAAATGTCTAATGTAGTCGTGTTGATAATATGTATAAATAATTTTATGATAGGGGGCTGAAAAATTCACGACCGATAAATTTGCCAAAATATATCTAAATGATCAAATATCGTTAATACTTTTAGGGTTTCTTGGTCGAGCTGATAAGATATCATTGTCTTTTTTTTCATTAATTCGTTCGAATTTTGGGAATATTATGCAACCCATTCCTGTTCATCATATGATATTTGAAGAGACGGTAGATGCTGCCAACTGCACCCCCATTACACTTTGGATGCCAACTCAGTTTACATATTTAATTATGGGAATATTAGGCAACACAATATGTTTTAAATAACTGTCCACCCAATATAAGGCACAAGAGACACTCAAGGTAGAGGGTTACGGAATGGGGATTTATACAGGTAAGAGGACAAGGTAAGAAGTTCAGGTTACGAAGATATGTAGGAACGATAATGGTTGACCTTTGACTTTTCATATATTATTTGCAGAAGAGTTGAGCTCTGCCAAGTAGATTTCCTTGCTATCTGAGATGCTATTAAGTAGGTACCTCAACAGAAACACGATATTTAAGGTTTAAAATTAATTTAAAAAAATAAAAATCTTTCTTGAATTTTTTATTTTAGTTTAAATTTCAATAATTTTTTATTTTAGTTTAAATTTCAAGCTAATAGAACATATTTAATATTTCCAATAAGCAAAATACTTCGCTGTATTTAAAAACATTTCAGTTGACTGGGAAGTTTTTTTATTTCGATAGCGCTAAAATCGCTGATTTCAGTGCCATTTTTAGCTATCTGACATCACAATGTAATTTCCTTTGTTAAAAAATCTTTCAAAAATAAAATGTACTTTTTCTAAAACTTCATTTCAGGAATATTAGCTGAATTAATTTTTAATTAGTCTGATTTGAAACAAACGTTACTTTCATTAGGTTTAAAATAGTGCAGAAATGCATTTTTAACATGGCAGTGAGTGTTTATTTAAGGTGTTGACAGGTTGAAGGCTGGGCTGACAGACGGAACGTTATCTCATTTTTTTCTCCGGTGGACATATTTCTTCACTTTAGGAATATAACATGAGCATCATATAATTTTTAACTACCCAGTAATCTTAAATATTTAGGAAAATATTCCCCGTAATGTAATGTTCATTGAATTTTAGGTACTTTGGCTTTAAATTTACTATAGTTAGTAATCATAATGTCGTGTATGGACGTCCGTATTTACAAATATCGGCACGTTTATATATACACATTTTATTGGGGTCGATGAATTTCATTGAATAAGCTTTTCCATTTATGATTACTAAATATAATTTTTACATAATAACAATATCACCTAATCGGTACAAATTAATCCATAAATTTAAAAGATTTAAAATTTTATAAATTATTCTAATTAAAATTTAAAAAATTAAAACAATTCTTGTAAAAATTCATTATTCACCTAATTTTTTTTTTCTGGAGAGAATAGTGTCCATAATATATCTTATGCGTAAAAGCAATTAAAAGTTTTCTAAAAAAAAAATCAGGATTTGAATTCTCCAAGAAGTCTGTGTAAATCTAATATAAACATTACACGGTGCAAAAATTAATTTATCGAAATTTTATAAAGTTAAATAAGTGAGTAACAGATATTATTTACATTATTCGGACTATTGTCCTCATGTTTGTTACCATATTTATTACAACGTTTCGGCCGTTGTGCGCTCCGGCCTTCTTCAGGTGGTCGGAATGTCGAACTGAATTCTTTATTTCGCTCACTGGGGTAGACTGTTCTAGTTCTACGTGCCATGTTTAACGGATGTCAGTTATCAGTTATCTCCTGTTAATTCACCTCTCCAAGTTCTTCACTACCTTAACCAGGTATTGAACTCACAACTCTTTGGGTCCTGTCACTGGATCTAACCAATGCCTTTATCCACTGTGCCATGTGTCCTTAAATAGTGTACATAATACCTCATCTCAGAAATACAGGCAGATACTGGGTAATATATGAAAAGAAAAAAAATATTAAGATTTTCTAAAAAAAAAAAAAAAAAAATTCTAAAATAATTTAATAGATTTGTGAAGCCCCGAAAGAAGTTTCATTAAACTCCGAGAATTATTTGATTTTTGCAAAACATCCCAGATCAATGTGTTTTTCACAGTTAAAAAGACGCTAAAAGTTCTTATATTAACCTTTTCCCACCGCTGACGCAAGAAAAACAAAATTTTAATCTAAATTTCGAACGATAAAAAATATAATATAATAATAAAAAAATTGTTTGATCTTTTCTCTTAGTTATCTTAGTAACAAAAAAAATGCCGATAAAATTGTTTTTATTAAGTTTCGGGCATTTTTTACATTATGGTATACACATTTTTTAGCGTATCTGTGGAGGCAATATCTACTATTAAAAACAACTTCGGAATGCGATCTGCGAGTTATAAAACTGACTAAAATACAATGCCTTGTCTCGTATCTCTTCATGAATTCATTTTTGGAGACGAATTGTACATATAACTTGATATCACGACATCTGAAATGAAAAAGATGTTCTCTCTTTTCGCATTGTATTCTAGTCAATGTAAAGTAATGAATAAATCCTATTTGTAATGAAACGAGATGCCGGGGGTGGGAGTTCAGAAGTTCTAGTCGAGAATTGTGGATGTTGCACAATAGAGTTCTTTCCATTTTTCCACGTACGTCAAAATACACTACGGACTTTGCTTTCTCAATACTGACTTTTATTTATATCGAAATATCCAAGTCATGGCAGGCCCTTGTACAACTTCAAAACAAACCGAAACTGACAAATAACTCATAGAGGGAGACATCGATCCGTGACAATGCACTGTGACGTCGACTTCGTCTGAAAGCACGAGACAAATGCTTGCAAGAGAATTATTCAAATAACATCAAGTTAAAACAAAAAAGACGTCTAAACTCAACTTTATACTGTGCACGAAATACCGGTAAACGACGACAAGCGGTTAACAAGCTTGTATACTTGGTGCTTCGATGTAAAAAAAAAAAAGAAAAACAGTTGCAGTTTTTACTTACGTATTACGCATTGCTAGTTGCACTCCCACTTCTACAACTGGAAATTGCTTTCACTGTATATATAACATTTCGCATGAATGCATTTTTTTTAAGGTATTTTTTATTTCTATTATTTACACGTATGCGACACCATCTTTTTCTATACTTCTGAGATGAGGTATTGTAATTATTTACACTATTTACATTGTTTGGACTTGTCCACAAATGTG